CGGCCCCCGTGAGACCAAAGTTGGAGTCTCTGCCCTTCCGAGCATATGCAGGACAAGCCCCCACGTCCTCATGGAGAGGAGGGGGCTGTGCATCGTGGGGACGGGAGCAAGCGCAGAGCACGTGCCATCCCCAAGCCACACTGTCCCACCATCAGCCAGGAGGGAGCGAGGGTGCAGGTGGGGGTGAAGGGAAAAGACGGGGACATGACAGGGAAACTGAGGCTCCAGGCTCCACGTGCCCCCCCCCCCTCCAGGAGCAATCTGATGGCATCCTGTGATTTGAAAACATTCTACGTCTCAAATGTAATTAAGAAATTCCGACTGGCATGAATACATAATGCACACGTTGCTTTGCAAATGCCTTTTTTTGCCCGGCAGGCTGGTGCCGACTTTAATCTGGAAGAAATCCATTTTCATACAAAGGTAACCAAGAGTGACAGGAAATAGGAAGCCTACATCATTTATCTTCTGTGAACTAAAAAAAAAAAAAAAAAAAAATCAGTTAATTGCTTTTCTAGGAAGCTATTTTGTGGAATCAGGGTGCTTTGCTTTCTCCTTTCACCCACGGCGTAAACTGTGAGTCTTTAAAAGGCCTATCATGGATATGCTCTGATTAATCAATGGGTCTTAAAGTATTTAATTATGTACTTTGATAAATAAAATTCTGAATCAGCCCAAAATGGTTACTCTGTTCTTATCAACCACTACCAATACTCCTAGCACAGTCTATTAATTGATGCTCAAATTGAGGTTTCTTTCCTGGTCAACCAAGCTAGGGGACGCAGGGTTTCCCTTTGCCTCCTGGCTTTCCAAATACGTCCCATTCTCAGCCAGCAGAGCCCTCTGCAATATTAGATTCAGATCAGTGATATTTATTAAATCAATGGCAAACAGAAATCAAACCTTGCAGGCTTCAGAATACCAGGGCTGAAGCTGTCAGACAAAATGGCGGCCCAGCCCATGACACCCATATTTTGTATCAAAAGTCCTGCATAGTGGGCTTTTTCATGATCCTGCCCTATTTTTTTCCTTGCCCCATCACGTGTTTTGTAAATATTTATTTTTAAGTTTTACCAAGTTTTGAGGCTAATAGGAAGTGCTTTTTCAAATCCCAAATTATCATTTTGATAATAATTCCTTATCATATCATGAGCCCAAGACAGACCTTGAAGCCGACCACACTCCAGCTTCAGGGTCTCCAATGCCTCAGGGGGCTACATGTTTTGTAAAACCTGCAAGTGCAAGATATCTCTCTGATCTTTTTGTCCTCAAGAGAACACCTGACAATGTATGCATTTCAGGTCCCCAAAAATGTATTTCTGCCCCTCCAGTTGAAGAGTCTCCAAGGTCTAGATCTGGAATTATATATTAAGGCCAAGTGTGTGTGTGGCAGGGAATGGGGTGGGGTGGGGAGGGGTGGAGACCGAACTAACTGACTTCAGTTAAAATGGATTTTACCGTCCTAGAATGTTCTAGAATACATGCTCCAGCCGTTTGTCAAATCCCTTGTCTCCTGCCTCACAGTAGACACCTTTCCAAGCTGCACTCCAGGGGAGGCTCACTTAATAAGGGCTGGCCTCCAGAATAAGAGTCTGAGCTATAACGACAAAAATATGTTCTTCATTAAACACAAAACTGAGACGAGCCAAACCAGCTAAGAGGCAGGTGTATCAGTTTCAGGAATTCTCCTGAGGCCTTTAACTTCCACATCAAATTGCGCTGGATTTTTCTACACTAATTACCTATTATCGAAGACTAAAGAATTATAACAAATAATTTGCCATGGCGGCAGATAGGCTGCAGATGTTGCAAGGACGAGAATGAAAAGTTTATGAAATATAAAATCGGGCAAAAGAGAGTCAGAAATTCTCCATTTTTAAAAATAACATTTTTTTTCCCACTACAGAGATGATGAAGGTGAGGGAATTTTCCCAGGGCTGGAAGGCCAATTTTAAATTTAGTTTGGACTGTAAGTGAGAGAAATTGCAAATTAAAAGCTAAGTGTTGGAGTTTAATTTATTCAACTCATATAGATAGATTTCCTGAAGGCAGAGATCCCATTTTGATTTTTTTTTTTTTTAATTTCCTCACATCACAGTGCCCCTACTCAGGGATCTGAGCTTCCTATGAGGAATGTCCCTACACAGTGCCAAGCAGCCATTTTTGAACCCTCCCCCTTGTTTTTACATGATTTTTACCTAATACTTCCTTTGAGCCTCTGAATTCTTCCTTCTGGATTAAGTCCTATTGCACAGTTAATACCTTGAAAAAGTGTTGTCAAGGGAAGCAAGTCCCCTTCAGGGTGTTTTCTCTGTGTCAATTTCCCTAGAAAACACCTCGGCCACCTCACTGGAAGATAAAGCCAGAGAAATGGAGGGGACCTTTTCATAATGGCAGTATGTGCACTAATAGGCGTGAATATTTTTGAAATTGTTTGAGCATTAAGTATAGAAGCATGAATATTTTCCCAAATGTTTACCACATCAAATTGTTCCACACGTTCCAAAGCACATATTCCTTCCAAAGTAAAAATTTGGCAGATAAAAATTATTCTGCTTCTCTGCTATCATTATGGATCTTATAGGAATGGCCTAAAAATATCGACTGATAAACCTGCAAAAGGGTTCTTGTTAGTCTTGGAACGCTGTCAAAAATGCCAAAAAATCCCTGGAGCTTGAAGGGCAGCGAAAGTGATTTGCAGATACTATTTTGCTGCTAACTGTGAAAAAAGTTCTTATTGTGATTAAACAGACAAGTGTTTCCAGATTCAAATCATAATATTTTCCTAACACACCAAGCTTTTTACTAAAACGAGGACTACATCTCCCACTCCAGAAAAAATACCCCTCCAGTTATAACTTTGTTCTACAAATGACACCTCTTTTCTGTCAATGCACAAGTGGCCTCCGACATGTTCAGTCCACAATGTGAGGAGGGCAGCAGGCTGGATGGTCCAGGTCATCACATGTAGGGGAAATGAAATACTATCTGTATAATACCTTCTGTATAAAGCTCTGATTTCCCTCTGCGTGCCTCTCGATCTCAGTCTGTGATGACCAAAAACTATACAGTGTATCATTCCTAATCTGGGGTCCTCAAAGGGCATCCTGAAAATGTCCAAGTGATTAATGACATACTCAGAAGCCCTGTGAAGCTGTACAGGGACCTGGAGAAGGATACGCTGGCTACCTAAAAATACTGTTTTCCCCCTTTTAACTCACTGGGCTCCAAAAAAGTGAATAAACCAATTATTACCTACTAATTTGAAGTGCTTTGGTAGATAAAAAAAAAAAAAGTCATTTTAACAAGGAGTCAATCAAACGGTAAAGGGTTCCCTGGTGGCTTAAGTTCATCACCACTGTTCAAAGCTAGCTGTGCTTTATCTGCCAGTAGAGGTCATTTGACAATGACGACAAAAACCAAAGGGCTGATGAGTTCAGCTGTATGAGGTAGCATCTCTGTGCATTTCCTACAGACTTGAAAACACAAAGCTTTGTAGAAATTACATTTTGCTTCCATTAATTCCTAATGAGCCCTTTTCTAGAACCTATCATGAATGTGTCATCAAAAGAAGTTTCTGGTATACGTGCCACGGAATGTCCTCATCAAACCTGTGTAAACATCTCCTAGAGACTCGGGCTATCTTCTCAGAGGGCGGAAAGCTTATTGCCCAAGGGGTCTGCAGGGACTTTTGAGATGACTGCTCAGAAATGCAACAAGAAATGTCAGAACACTTGCTTCATTTGGTTATTAAATCTAATGAAGATACAAAGAATATTTTGGTCACACTGTTAGTCCGCCTTTAAAGAAGAGCATGTCTAAAAAAAGAAAAAACTTTTAACTGTTCCTAAATATGATGTTTGAGGACTTAGACTTTATTTTAGCTCGTTTCCCACATTGTAGCAAAAGAACAGCAAAAATACAGTCATATTTCTTCTCCATGTGCTCTTGACGACTATCACCAATTTGTAAAGTAGTGTGAGATGTGTTTCTTTAAAACAACTTCATCTTCCATCCAGATTTACTGTTCAAGTAACTACTTGGTCATTACCCCTCCTGCCACCTGTCACTGGGCCATTGGCTAGTTTAGAATTTCAATACTCAATACGTCACATCATGCATTTTGCAATGTAATGAATAAATGCCAACATAAAATCAAAATACAAACCAAAAAAAAATATGAACTAAAATAACTCACTCTGTTCACATACCCATGTAACAATCTCAGATTATTTTTAGACGACAAGGAGAATTCAGGTAAGAATTCTGACTAACATGAATGAGTCCGAATGTTAAAGATGGGATATCGGATATGTCTGAATATTCAGCTTATTCAATTCTGAATCATTTAAACAAATACTTTAAAACCTATTATGTGTGGGCTGGGGTTGTGGCTACATAGTAGAGCACTCGCCCAGCACATGTGAGGCCCTGGATTCGACCCTCAGCACCACATAAAAATTAATAAATAAAGTAAAGGCATTGTGTCCATCTACAACTAAAAAAAAAAACATTATAAATTATTATGAGTTTTCCTTTATAAAGTTTGTCCTCGGACTTATCAAAACGGATAAAAATGTTAAAAGAGTTTCTTAACTCTTTCACATAAAATTTTACCTTCTTACATATTAAAAATTAACCCTTTGAAGTGCCTTTATTCCTAGTATATAATAGCTCAGTCAACGTGACCTTGTTCACAAAAATCCCTTGGACTATGGTGAAAGAGGCATTCCTTGCCTGACTAGTACCCACACAGAGAGAAACACACACACACTTATGCTGTATTCGATGGCACTTTAAAAAATACCAATTATAATAAATTTGAGGTTTTAAGAAATCATTATTTACGATGTCTGCCTCTCCCGCTAGGGACTGCCATAAATCCCACCACAGGATGTCAGCCACAGTACTGAAAAAGAGCTCCTGGAAATTGAATTCTCAGCCATCGCACAGCCAATAACTTTTCAGCGACACGTAGGTGGAATGAAGAGGGGACTCACCTCTCCTTGCTTGGGGATGCTGAACTTGGAGAGCTTGGCTTTGGCTCTGGCCGACTCTGGCTTGCTGGCTGGGCCTCCTCGGAACGTTGCACAGTGCACGCCAGCCTCTGTAGATGACTTAAGCTTCGGAGACTCGTCGGGAGCCTGATCCTGGCCATCCATCGGTCTCACATACGCGGTCGGCTTTTGCTGGACCAGGCTGGGCTTTGAAGCCAGGGCAGGAGGGAAGTTCTGAACACAGTGCCCACCACTGCCGTGCTTGGCTGCCATGGCGGGTGGCCTCTCCTGGGTCTGCAGTCCCACCTCTACGTTGCACACTTGTTTGGCCCGCGGCTGCCTGCCAACACCATCTCCAAGCAAGGTCCTGAGAGAGCCCTGTTGTGCTGAGTGGGAAGAAGAAGAAGAAGAAGAAGAAGAAGAAGAAGAAGAAGAAGAAGAAATGAGCAGAGGAGTCTCAACACACAGCGGTTATGTATTTTCATCACTGTTCTTTGCTTTCGCCGATTTGGGCAAAGCAAGTGTCCTGTGCCCCTGCTTACCTGCCCGCGGTTGGCCATCGGACGGTGGGTGCCCAGCCTTCTGCCAGCCCATGGTGCCCCTTTTACTCTGTTGTACAGGGCCAGCGGCTGGAGTGGAAGAGGCTGTGCTACAGACAGATGAGGGCTGGGTCTGGGCTCTTGAATCTGCAACAAAATGTTCATCGATCTTGTTCACAGGAGTCTGAGGAACCCCCGGTTTGGGGACGCCAACGAGGTGACTCTGATTGGATCTATCAGTTAAAAAGTCTTTCATTTCATCATAATTGCCTAAAGTGTTCTGGATCCGGTTGGAGAGCTCATCCCCCTTGTTAGTCTGGAGAAAGAAAAACACATCCACGCTATGGTTAGAGACAAGAGAAACACAGGAAACAGTGGACAGCTGTCCTTATGGGTCATAGAACCAGGGCTGCCGTGTTTAGGATGAGAGGTGACAGAAGACATCAAGATCCTTAGGGTCTCCGAAGATGTCTGTTAGCACTCTGCACCACTCCAGGGCTGGAGACCTGTAATGAATGCTCTTAGGATATATAAAAAGGAATTCAGCCTTGGTATCCTGTAGCTAAACCGCATGACCTGGAAATCAACTTAACAAAACCATCTAGATTAGGTCTTTCTAGGACTAGATTATTCTTTTCTTTTCTTTTTGTAATCCCATGGAAAGCTTGTTCTGGAAAAGTTAAGATTTGGCTCAGAATTGGTCTGCTTCCAATTTCTAAGGAGATAATTATTCTTGTCAGAAATCCAGAGTGACAGGCAAGAGAAGTCAGGGTAAAGCTTCCAAGGCACATGGGGCTAAATGTGCAGGAAATCTACCAGCCTCAACTACCACGGCTCCGTGCAGACTAAGACATTCTCCATAGCTGGGAAGGTCATTCACTCTGAAATGGAACACAACCTGGTCTTTGGTAAAAATAAGAAACAATTTTACAGTTTCTTTCTCAGGTACCCTGACCCTTACCATGAGCCATAGAAATCGAATATGGAACCCAACCTCTTTTGTGAACCGTACTTGTTTCCTAAGAGTTTAGGATGGTATTGACTTTAGAAGATCAATGCATTGGGTTCCATATTCGATGAAGTCTGTATTATCAATAAAGATCTCCACCAGCGGATCTCCATATCAAACTAGACACCAAGACTTGGAGGAGAAGGTACTGACGGGGTAGCTGAGGTCCCTCCCCTGGCTGAACAGGCAGAAAACTGACTGCAGACGGGTCCATGAGCCCTTCCAGTCACGACCACCACCCCCAGGGACTGGGAAGCACACGCAGGGGTGAAGCCCAACAACCGAAAACCGTCTACCTTGTAGGGTTCGCTGAAGAGGGAGTAACTGGAATTAAACGTGCCCCCATCCTGCTGAGCCTCCTGATTTCTTCTTTCTCGTTCTTTCCTCCGTAAGGCGTTCCTGTCTGGCTCATAGACACTGTATCAGGACAGAGACAAGAGAACACACCACCAAGTCAAAGGGCGCAGCCCCACATACCATTCCCTTCATGGGGCGATGGCAGCGGGGACACGATGGGATGAAAGCCAGGCTCATGAGGCCGTGTGAATCTGGGAACCTGATAATGACATTCTTCAGGAGGGAATGTTCTTAGGGCAAGTTCCAACCAGAGCCAGGCTCCTCTGCCTGATGTGCGAAAGAGGAACCATCCAAGCACCCCAAAAGGAAAGGACTAAGTGTGATCTTAGGGCAGACGGCAATTAGAGCTCTGTGTAAACAGAAATTACAAGCGTATTTCCTGTTAGGGCAGCCTGAGTGCTACAGGGAGGCTCCTGGTTGGGATCCCCCACCCCCGCACCCCGGTTGGGCTTCTGCAGTGATTCTTGGATTAACCAGCTCCCTAAAGAGCTGCCGAGACCCCGGTGCTGGGGCGCTGTGCACCGTCCAGAGCCTTCTTCTGATCTCTGTTCATCAGTCAAGTCGTCAGACGACGACGGAATCGATTCTTCCTTCTGATATATTTGACATTATTGCTCCTCCTAACTATGAAAAATGTGCCGGGAGGACAGGGTGCAGGCGCCGAAAGGAGAGGGCGGAAATTGAATGGTGTCGCATCATCGAGGAACTCGTCCTTTCGGTTGGAAAAAATTAATATCTAATCTCCCAAAATACAATTATGAAGTGGCCAGACATCAGACAACTGGAGGAACTAAGGGAGGAATAAAGGGTTCCTTCCCGCTCCGAAGGAGAAATAACAGGGCTAATTCAACTAGGGAGGAGGGGGGACCTGTTTACTGATGGGAAGAAATAATTTTTGGGGGGAAGCCTGGCCTCAGTACAGATCTTGGAATGAATATCACCAACCAGAAAAAACCAGCATAGCCCTCAAAATCGGCACTGCCCTCACGTCCTAGCAGAAACGTGGAATGTCGATGACCTTGCCTGACCTTGCCACCAGGCTGGTGACCGCTCCACTCAGGAGCTAGGACACCAACCTGGTAACACCCCTCGAGTCTCTATCCTTCAGCCTCTTCGTGACAAAGCAGGGGTGTCTGTGGCTTTGTTATGAGGTCCAAGCTGGAAGGTAATTTTATAAAAAAGGCTTGGAAAAATTTTAGGTGCTAGAAGACCCAGTGTACTGCTATGAAAATATGATTAAAATAAAAGGATCTGGGGGTCCAGAGGAAGTTCTGAAAATTCAAATTATTAAAGGCAAACAGCTATCTTTAGTAAAAGAGAGTATCTGTGCCATGTAGCTGTTGGGGACACAAATCACACAATCCTCCAATCAGGGCTGCTCAGGCCGGCTCGGCCCATGTGGCCAGAACATATTTTAAACACGCCGTCTCCGTGATGGGGCTCAACAAGCTTCTGGCAAGGCTGCTACAGCCCCTGAGGCATTTCATTTAAATTTAAAATTAGGGAATGTTAAAATATCCAGAACATGGAAGCTATTAGCATTTTAATTCATCCTTAGTACATTACCCAAAGTTATTAGGTTTAGGAGCCCAACCAGTGTCCTTCGCGTAAGGGAGGCTGTAGCCTCGGCAATCTGCCCTCAACAGAGAGGCTCACCGCTTCAGGGCCACTGAGGACTTTCTGGGGTGACAGTGACTGGCCTAAAGAGGCACGGGATGGAAATGACACTCCCATTCACAGGACCAGACTTCCGGTTCAAAGGAGAGGGAATGTCCTGACCCGCTGGTGGGCATGCGTCCCGGGAAACCCCAGGTTTTCCGAACATTCCACGGATTTCAGATGCAGATTGCTCTGAGGACACATGGCTCCTGCTGCACGGATGGGCACAGATGGGCTTTAACAAACAGGAGAATTCTCATTTGTGTTATGAGCTCCTTGTAGGTCAATATTGGCACTGACAATCAAACACATGAGCTTGTTCTGCATGCATCTGGGCGCCCCTCCTCCCCACAGACACGGGGAAGCGCCACAGTGCCCAGGTCCACAGAGAGGCCTCCACGGGCACACCTGCCCCCTAGCCAGGGCGAGCCAACAACCAATCACACACGAGATGGGTGAGATGCACACGGTGGCCTTATGCAGGATGGAGCGGGCAGGTGGTCATGCAGGATGACTGCCGGGCTGCTGAGAGGCCCCCGAGCCCAAGATAATATACCTCCTGCATCTGCTGGCTGATGACTGAAATTCCACAACTAGGGAATCGTTCCTCTGGCTTAAGATGTCTTCACCCCTGTAAGAGAAAACACTTTAAACCTGACCAGCCTTGCGCGTCTCCGTGGGCACCCATCTGTCCACTTTTTCCCCAAAGGGAAAGGGCACAAAAATACCGGGTTGCAAAGAGGGTCCAAAGAGTGTTCCAACTGAGGTACCATGAAAAAGACAGGGACGAGGGTCAAGAGCAGCAACGAAAGCCAACTGATGGACTCTTCTTGTTTGCAGTGCGGCCCAGGTGTTTAAGCAAAGGCAAGGAGATAGTGCCAAGGTCAACTCAGCAGACCCCCGCCTCAACACACTTCCAGGGTCTGGGAGTCAGGAGCGTCGTGTAACGTGGAAAAGTGGGAGGTGAGGGAGAAGGGGGTTCTCCTTAACTGAGCTGCCCCTTCCTAGCCCCTTTAAGCTGAAGAGCCCCCAAAGCCACTGCAGGAGGCAGGTCACTGCCAGATCCCATTCTCCAGTCACGTTCTGCCAGCCTGACCAGCCTGTGGCTTCCAGTGCTCTCAGGGCCACTTACACAGAATCCACCAATAGAGCTGCACGTGCCCTCTTCCTACAGGGCTGCTACAAAGCCTGTGTGCACACCATCGGGTGGAAGCCAGCTGACCCCAGTAACAACCGTCCCCGCCCCTTCACAGGAGACCAGAGGAAACACAGAAAGAAACGCCTGGCTTCTCCCCTTCCTCTGCAGGCAGCTCCGTGGTGTCCCCTGAGCACGGAGCCCTTCCTAAAGGTAACCCGCCCACTCCCTCTCCTTAACTAGAACTTCAACCCCCACGTGTCATTTCAGGCCTAGGGAGCTAAAATGTCACTTGCTTTAAGAAGCAAATGCCACTGAAAGAGAGTCGGGCCTTCCCACTCTCCATCTCTCCCTGAGCTTCTTCAGCTTCATCTGTCCACCAACACGAAAGGATTGAACTCAGAAAGACAGCAGCTGTTCGGCGGCGAGTCTGCAGATCATTCATGACAGGTGAAACCCGTGCAGGGCTCACGGGCTCACGGAGGGCCTTTCTCTCCATGCCTGGGCATGAAACCTCAGCTCCTCTGCCCTTGGAGCAATGTGGAGACCGTGCCATTCTCTTCAGAAGCACACGCACCTTTCCCCTGACGTGCTGAAAGTGGGCTCAGCTTCCCCAGGAACGGATGACTTAAGTTTTAGACAATTCCGATTCCTGGCAGGCCACTGTACCCGCTCAACTCGGTAAGCACTGCGTGTTCCGAGCTTTTCTTTGTTACTAGCAGATGGTAAAATCTCTATCTGCAGAGTTGTTCCTTAGCTCTGTAAAAAGGACAAGATTGCCATTCCTCAAACATATATCACCAAATGTATTTATTTATTTTGCACCAAAGTGGAGGCAGCCAACTGCTATGATATTATTTATTATTTATTGCAGATGCATAACAGTCCCAGAAAATGAACCTTTTAAATCAACTCCTTTTAAAAGACGTATTTATTTTTGGAATCTTTTTTTTTTAAATAGCACATGAAAAACATGGTAAAAAAACAAAAACATTTTGATCATTTCCCATTTATTTTTAATCTATCAATTGAGGTTTCTTGTAGGGCTTCCACCAAAGCCAATTATGGTGGTTAAATGGAAAGAGATATCTAGACATGAAATTACCATTTCCAAAATTAATCCATTCTTAATCACATGGTAACAACAGGAAACGAAATAATAATGATGTCTACGAGCCTGAAGTTTTCTCCTTTCTGCTGAGCTCCAAATATTTTATCAGTATGTCTCGTAATTATCCTTCTGATGTCCCACGGAGAACACAGGGATGGTGAATATCATCTCTAGGTTAACTTTTTTTTTTTTAAATCAAGAGTTCGATCACCAAAATGATGTCAGAAAGAAGGCCTCATGTAGAAGGAACAGCAATGTCTAAAGAGGATTTGGCTCACCTCTACCCAGAGCAGAGGAGCTACCCATAAGCCCAGAGCTGACCAAGAGCTGGCCAAGCTTCCTGAATGAACCCTGGTGCCAGCCAGCCCCGTAGTAACCAATAGTGAACTCGAGCCCCACCAAAGCAAAAGAGGACACATAAAACAAAAGGGACCCTTTCCCATTCAGAAAGAACAATGAAGAGAATCGAGAACAAAGTGTTAGCTATTACAATTTTTTACAGCCCCCAAGCAACAAAAGAAAAATGCAGTCTCTCTTTCTGCAGCGCGCACACACACACACACAAATCGTATCTGTGTAACCTAGAAATGTGGACTAGAAGACGGAAGAGTGAACAGAGAAAGTACAGATGCTCAAGCTGGCCAGCGAGGGCTGATGGCATCCCCCGTCTTCATGAACTGCCCATTCACCAGATCTGTTGCAATCTGTCCCCGGGCTGCCCTGCAGGAGGGAAAGGCGCTGGAGCACAGCCTGACCCTCCAGCTGAGCCCCGGTTGACCCAGCAGACTCAGCTGGACAGGAGGAACTGCCTCCCTCCCTCGGGTACTCTTCCATGGGCAGCCTGCTGATATCTGAATGGAGGCTCCAAACAAATTACATCTCCCAGGGAGGAGATTTTAGTCAGTGATCTAGGAAGCCAACTGTACCCCTTAACTAGAATCATCAGCATTTTATTCTGACTTTCTAAAAAAAAAAATAGCCCACTTATTGTCTCAGGGGTTGGGGATTTGTATTGGTCCATTTTTTGTTGCCCTGACAAAATAACCAAGGTTAAGTCCTATATAAAGAAAAGAGGTTATTTAGTTCACAGTTTTGGAGGCTCAAAGTCCAATATTGAGTGATTTTTATCTGGCCTCTGATGGGGGCCCTCTGGGTGTACCACAACATGGTAGATGGCATCTTGTGGGAGGGTATGAGAGACGGAGAAAGAAGTCACATGGCAAGATAGGAAGCCAGAGGGACTCGGGTCAAGGCTGGCTCCTGTGTAACAACTAGCTCTCAGGGAACTACCCTTTTGAAGGTAGCACACCCTGCCCCAATCACCTTGCACACCCCAACACCACCACACTGGCAACCAAGCCTCCAGTCCTAGAACACCTTGGGCACCCACTCAACCCTATTCAAACCGTGGCAGGGGCTAAGAAACAACTGAGTTCAAGGAGATGAGAATAATCTCATCCAACTCACCTCTCACCTACCTTTTGGAGAACGATACCATGTTATCCATGTTGTTTTCAAATATCAGAAATACAGTTCGATTTCCTCCAAAAGCATTTCCTGAATGCCACTATCAGATGCTGGGGAGACCACCAGGACTGTGACCAACCTACCCCACCCCTGAGAAGGTAATGGACAAGGGACAACAGGATGCAGGATCAGGGAGGAGGGGAAGGAAGAAGAAGGACCTAAATGTTCAAGACGTGCAGGTTACTATGAAAGGTTGGCCTTTGAGAGGAGTGGAGGGAGTGACCCTGGCCCTCCATAGACCACCGATTTCTTTAACAAGCTGAATCCCACATTTTAATCCTCATGTCTTTGGTTTGCAGGTTTGATTTGGAGGGAATAAGCCAAGGGCAGACACAGAGAGAAAAACACAGAGGAACACTCTCTGCTTCCCCAGAGTGTGCACGGGGGCTGGACCTCAGCAGCCTGGCCACTGAGAAGACAACCTTCCAGACTCTCCGAGTCCTGGAAGGACACACTCGCTTTCCCCCCGGGCACCGACGGGCGCCTCCAGGGCAAACAAGGAGGGGACTGGCAAGAGCTGGGGAGAGGAGAACGTTCCCAGAGACTCTCCTGCTTTCTGGAGCGGCACATCAGCCGCTGTGTGTAATTAAAGAAATTAAATCAAACACTCCAAAATTATAACCAATTGTTTTGAATTTAATGAGTCAAACTAATTAGCATCTCTTGTTATTTATAAAGCAAATGATAAAAGATCAGTAATCCTTGCTTAAATTCGAGAGAAGCAAGGCTGTTGAAGGGTCCTTGCGAGTTGCCTCCTCCCTCTGCAGAGCTGGCGGAAGGCGGAAAGGTTGACCGGGGTCAGGGAGGCGACAGCAGACAGGGAGCAGGTGAGGCTGCAGTCAGGCCTTGAGAAGGAGGCAAGAACCCTGCAGCTGCAGTACTTCCAGGCCCTGAGGTGTGGTGGGGGCGGAGGTGATTGTCATGATATGGAGACAGAGAGGGTGGTGGTGGCAGAGAGCTGGACATAGTGACTAACATCTGTCATCCTACCCGCTCAGGGGGCCATGGCAGGAGGATCGCAAGTTCAGAGTCAGCCTCAGCAACTCATCGAGGCCCTGAGCAACTTAATGAGACCCTTTCCCAGAATAAAAAATAAAAAGGGCTGGGGATGTGGCTCAGTGGTAGAGCACCCCGGGCTTAATCCCAGTCCCCTCCACCACCACACACCCAAATTTGCTGAACAGTGAGAACCAGTCAACAGCGCCTATTACAAATCCCCAGATCCTGAACACCATCACTCGGCCCCTGTTCAGTCACTCGGCCCCTGTTCGGTTACTCGGGATTTTTGTCTCTGAGCCAAGCAACTTCAGTTCCATGCCTGTCACTCATCTGCCCAGACAGCACTCCCCACCCCCTAGCTCCCCACTGGCGTTGTAAGTGAGCACCCCACCCCACATATTATTTCTAACCATGGATTCCTTGAAAAGGTCAGTCCAACCTCTTATGTGCTTGTCTTGGCCACAAAGGTTATCTCCATCTGAGTCCAATCTTGACGATTTCCTCCGAGAGCATTCACAGGTCTCTACCTTGGGTCGGCCAACAGTTCTTTCAGAATAGGAACTGGATGGAGGGTATTATGTGCCCCTAATTACTCCTGTGCTCTACCTTTGGGAAACTGTGACATCAAAGGGAACCGCAAAGTCACAAACGCCCCTAGACAAACTGAGCCCACAAATACATTTTGGGATGATCTATGCCACCTTCCCAAGACCCATCTGGCCCCTATTAAATCTCACTAATGACAACACCTACTCTACATGGATTTTACATGAATTATTTTGTTTAATAATCCTGAAAAACCCCAAGGGACACTACCCTCAGTTTCCAGGGAGGAACAAGAGGCTCCGAGGTTAACTCA